TGTCCAAAAGTCCGGTGAAATCTTCAAAGCGAGAAATCACGTGGCAGGCCTGAGGGGCCACTGTCCTCTCTGCAGCTGTCACTGTCATGGAAGGAGCCCACCAGCCCTTCCCTTCTTGCCTCTCCTCCTCCTGGAAACCCACAGGCGGGACGCTCAGCCTCCCGCCCACTGTCAGGGTCCCCAACCCTGTGGCAAGGCCACAGGGGAAGGTCAGGGCCTGCTGCCACCTGAATGTCTGCTACCCCCAAAAATCCGTGTGCTGAAACTTTCCCCCCAAGGTGACAGTGTCAGGAGGTGACACCTTTGGGAGGTGGTGAGGTCTTCCGGGGAGCCCCCTGGGATTAGTGCCCCTAGAGACCCCAAAGCATTCCCTCCCCCCCTGCCACGAGAGGGCACGAAGAAGGGTTCCCACACACTGCAGCCGTGCTGGCCCTCGACCTTGGACTTCCTGGACTGTGAGAAAGAAATGCCACCACCACATCTGTGGTGGTCGGCGACAGCAGCCTAGTGGCTGAAGGCCAGGCCCACTTTACAGATGGGCACACTGAGCCTCTCAGAGGCCCAGGGACTGGGCCAGACCCCCCAGCTTGTCAGGGGTGATGCCAGACACTGGCTCATGATGCCGACATCTCCCACCTCGTAATGCTGGCCCCTAACAGGACACGTCCACGGACAGCGGTGGCCGTCCCCTGGCCTTCCGCGCCCACTTAGTTTCCCGACACGCCAAGCCCCTCCCTGCCAGCAGGCCCCAGGGCTCCTGACAGAGCTCAGCGACGTTAGAGAGACCGAAATCCCCCAACGCAGGTTTCTCAAAACAGACCCAAGCCTGCCCTCAACTGAGACTCATCCGCGGGCCTCCCCGGCTCAAATTAGTCTCAAAGCCCAGGGAGCTGCCCACGAATCTCAGTGCCCGGAATCCCGGAGCAGGGAGCGGGCGGGGGCACCAACTCAGACGACACAGTATGGATGCACAGCCACCCTTTGTGGCTGTGTGACCTTGCCCGGGTCACAGCATCTCAGTGGGCCTCAGTTTCCCCATCTGCAAAACGGGGCAAATGCAAGTCCTTACCCCACCGGGCCCCCGAAAGTGTGGGTGCAAAGGATGTAGGCCACACAGCCAGGTCCTCCTCGGGGCTGGTTGACCCTGGCGCGGGGCGACCAGGCAGGAGCCCAAAGGGAGCAAGGGGGTGTCTGTCTGCACAAGTCTCGCCCTTTGAAGAGACCACCCTTCAAGGGCGGGGAAGGTGAAGGCCTCCCAGCTGCCCACAGGGCTGACTCTAATGTGTCAATGGTTCTCACCCTTCGTTTGCATCCGCAGACGGACTCGTGGCCGAGAGAAAGAGAGAGACGGACCCCAGCCAAGGCCAGCCCATGGAAGGGACTCCAGTGACCGCCACCCTGGGACATGCATCAGGCTTGCCCAGCAGCCCCCGCTCCCCCTTCTGTGGGCTGGACGCCTGACCCTGTGTGAGCGAAGGCAAGTGACGCAGCTTCCTCCCCAGTGGCCGGTGAGCCGTGAGAGTGGTTACCGGCCCTGGAAGGGCAAGCGCCCTAGTGCTCTGGGGACATGGCCTAGAACCCTGGGAGCACCTGCAGGGGCGCCAGCTTCCACCGTCCCTCCCTCATCATCATCCTCGTTGTGACGGTTCGCTGCCTGTCTTTCTGGGTGGACATTAGCATTTGGCCACACCAAGGGGCCGTCGTTCTCATGACCTTCCGCTCCTCAACTATAGTCTAGGTCCGTACAGGGCCGTCCGCTGGGACTCCTTGACCAGAAAGGGAGTCTTTGCTGGGAAGGGAGCCCTGCGTGAGGCGAGGAAGTCCTGGGGAAGCAGTATTTAGGGCAGACCAAGTGCGTCAGCCGTGAGCCCCAGGCTGACACCCACCCACTGTGAGACCCTGAGCAGGCCACGCCCCAGGCCCGAGTCCCCTCCTCCGGTGTGCGAAGGGGCGGGTGACGGGCCAGCTCGCAGTCAAGCTCGTGCTCTAGAAGTGCACTCGCTCACTCTGGGGAAGGGCTGGTGGCACGACCATCACCCCGAGACACTGCCTGGGGGGCCAGGGTGTCCCCCCCGGGGGATGGGGCGATGCTGAATTCCATAGCAGCAAAGGGGAATGGACCCTTGCCCACCATTCTGTTTCTGACCCAACACAGCAGAAAGGAGCCACCCAGCCGCACACAACTGGGGGCGGGGCCCGTCGGCGGGAGGAGGCCTCTGAGGGCTCTGCTGGCCCAGGCCCTGCCTGCCCAGACTTCACGCCAACAAGCTCGGGGTTTCTTTTGCCCCCCCTTCATCGAGGCCACAGCCACGGTGATTGTTGGCTCCCAGCACCAAGCACAGGCAGAACTCCCCCGCCCCCAAATTCCCTGCATCCGGTGGGGAGATAGGGGGGAACGGCAGGGGGATGCAATGATTTACTCTGGGAACTTCCACTGTTCCACCATTAAATCACTCAGGGGAGGGGACAGCATTTGCATGCCACCGCCTGCCACCTCCCAGGGCCCCCTCTCCGAAGACCAGCACCACACACAGCCCCCCCCCCCCACATCACTGTTGCAATGAGGACGGAATATACCCCATGCCAAGGTGCCAGGCAGAACTAAGAGCAGCTCTGCCCTGAGGCCTCCCCGCACCCCGCAGCAGGCCCGGCCCCTCACAAGGCCCCTCTGTCAGGGGCTCTCCACCCACCCTGGTTTTACAGGCCAGAACATAATGGGTCAGCGGCGCCCGGCACGGCCAGCCCTGCAGCAGGGACCGTGGCGGCACCTCTCATTTGCAGGGCCGGAGCAGGCGCTGAAGCGCTCGAATAATGGGGCCCCCCGGTCGCTAAGCTGTGGGATTTGTGCTGACTCTTACCAAGCACAGTTCCATATGTTTAAGCACTTTGCGAGGCTGAAAGAAGCACACCCACCGCGCTCTTCACCATGGCTGCTACCCACGCAGGAGGGGGGGGCAGGAGCAGGCAGACAGGCCCTGCGTGTGCAGGCACGGTGCGCCTCCTCCCTGCCTCTGAGCTCCTCCGGCGAGCGCCCCTGCCAGGGCCTCGGCCAGACGTGGTCGGCAAGCCTTGCCAAAATTACCCCCCAAATCCCGCCGGCTGGGAAGGAAGCTCTGGTTAATTTCCTGCAAACCTTTCAACCAACGGTAGGCTGCTAAGTATCTTTCAGGAATTTCAGCCCTGTTTCCTCTCCAGCTCTCCAAACTGCTGCTAAATATAGAGTTATCAAACTGTCTCTCTCTGTGTCCCTGGTGGGGACCGGGGGAAGACAGACAAGTGCTTCCAAAGACCCAGCAATGGCAGGTGGCACGAGCCGCCCAGCGGGGCCAGGAGAAGACCTTCACGGGTGGCACGGTGCCCCCCCAGGACCCAGGCCTCCCAGAGCCAGCCTCCTGCTCTGCCAAGGCCAGAGGAAGAGGTGGAAGGGGGGTATGGATTGCACCACGTTGTGCCTCAAAGCATGAGGCAAGCTGCTCCTCTAAGAGACGTCCAACCCTCGCTTAGGAGAACAGACAATGCTGACCCCCACGGAGAAGCAAAATAGGGGCCAAACTGCAGCCTTCAAGTCCCAAAGGATGGGGCCTTTTGGACGCAGGTCCCGGGGCTCCAGCTCCGGGGAAACCGCCTGGACCCCCAGGAGCAGCCCCTCTGAGAGCAGCACAGCCCCGGAGCTGCTGGCGGCGGACTGGACTGGAGCTGCAGCCCCCCGTCCAGCCGGACCGGCTCTCCCGAGGGAGCCGGGGCGAATGCCGATGGGCACCTCTGGCTGCAGGGCTCCTCCCAGCCGCGGTTTCCTCGCACGTTTTGGGTCCCCGTGGGCATCTCGAAGGGAGGCGACACAGGTGCTTCTTGCGTGCAAATGCACAGCTCATGAAGGTGGCGGCCGCGGTCTGCCCCTAACGCGACCTTCCCCCACAGGGAGAGCTGAAAAGTTGCACTCGCGCGTCCCCACTGCGCTCCGAGGGTGTGTGCGGCTTGTTAGGAAAATGAGAACAGTTTCCGAAGCCCCAGCCGCCTCCTCGCCGATCAATCACAGGTCCTGGTTTTAAAAGGTCTGCAGAGCCGAGTTCTCCAAAGGCAGGGGGACCTTGCTGCCCCGGGGGCCGTGCAGAGGGACCTTTAGGGACTTCCTCCGCGGCTTGCGGTGGGGGGAGGGGAGGGACTGGCATTTCAGGATAAGCTTCCTCCGGCTCCAGCACGCAGCCACACCGAGGCGGCAGAAAGCTTTCCAAACTCCAGCGGAGACAGAAAATACCTGGCTATTTTTGCCTTTCCCACTCACTAGATTCCGGCGACAGCAGCGCGGGAGCCAGCAGAAAGCCTGGTGCCCAGGCCACGGTTCTGGGCAGCCCCCGTGCCGGGAGCCCCCCCCCCCCACGCCCGGGGCTGCCTGGGCTGCCGGGCTGCCTGGCCGCCGTGGGGTCAGGGCGCTGGGGCAGCCCGGCTTTGAAACAGGAGGCGAGCGGCAAACTGCACTTCGGCCCAGGCGAGGCCACCTGCGGAGGGGGTCCTCCGGGGCATAGAAAAGGAGAGTGCCGCGGGGCGTGGGGAGGAGCCGGGGACGCGCCAGACTGCGCCGCCGACGGAGGACCTGACGTCTGGGGCCCGCAGGTGTCCTGGGAACTCATGGCCTGCGACCATCGGGATCAGGAAGCCAAGAGAGGGGCTTCACCGATGCCCCGCCACAGCAAAACCCGCGAGAAGCAAAACCTGGGGGGATGGCGCCCCGAGGCGGAGCAGGGAGGGGGCTGGATTCCAGGAGGCGCGCCCCCACTCGCCTCCAGAGGCTCGGTGTTCTGTAAAGGATCCGCAGGGGAGCTAGGGGTTGGGGGAGGAAGGCGGTGCGTGCTGGGGACCCCTGGATTCCCACCGTCTCCCCAGATTGCTCCAAGTCTGGGAGAAGCGAGCTGCCAGGGACTTGAGGAGGCGGCCGCTCCGTGCAGGAGCCAACTTTGCGCGCGGCGGCCGGGGTCGGGGATGGGGTCCCGGGGACGCGTTACCTGGGCACCGGAGCGCAGTCAGCGCCAGCAGGAGCCCGAGCGGCGGCGCCCGGCCCGGGGGCGGCATGGTTCTTGGCGCGCGGTGGGTGCGGCGGGGAGCTGCTGCTGTCGCGCTCTCGGCCCGGCCCGGCCCGGCCCGCAGCTCCCGGGAGCGGCCCGGGCGGCTACGCTCGGGCTGCGGGCATGGCTCGCTCCCCCGGCGCCGCTCTTCCCCGGACGCAGGCGGGCGGCGCGGGCGGCGCTTGCTAGGCTGCGCCGGGGCGCGCTCTCCGGGGCTCGGCCGGGCGCTGAGGGGAGCGGGGGCCCGGCTCAGCACCCCGCACCCTCGCCGGCGGCCCTGCACTTGGCCCGAGTTGCGTGGCCCCTGCTGCCGCCGCCGCCGCGGCTCCTGAGCCCCAGCGCCTGTCCCATCCCTGTCTCGCCGCCGCCGCCGCCGCCGCCGCCGCCTCTGCCCGCGCCAGCTGCCGGCCGCCCCTCGAGCCAACGCGAGTGAGCTAGCAGGCGAGCGCCGGGAGGAGGGAGGGGCGGCGAGGCCGGGGGAGGGGCCGCCGCCGGAGACCGGGCAGCGGGCGGCCGCCCGGCGATAGGCGGCGGGACGTGCCACTCCCTGGCGTCCCCGGGGGAGGGCGCCTGGACGCAGAGGCCCGCGGAGGCGCGCGGGGGTGGTCGGGGGCCAGATGGGGACAGGTCCGGTCGGCGGGGTGACTTGCCAGGCAAAGTGCAGATAGACCTGGGCGTGCTTGGGGCGTCCTGGTAGGAGTTCCCAAGGTCGGGGGCTGAGGGGGACAGCGGAGGGTCCTCGGAATGGGGCAGCGACATCTTCAGGGGAGGTGTCTGCAGGGACTGGGGATGGCGAGGCTCAGCGCTGACAAGGGATAGATGTGGCAGGGCTTGGAGGTGCCTCCGGGAGTCGGGGGTACCTGAGGAGTGTCCTCAGGGCGGGGGGAGGGGCACATCAGGGACCCCGAAACAGACCGAAGGTGTCTTGACGCCGTCCACCCAGGTGAGAAGCAGGGGCCCTCGGAGGCCCTGATCTCCTGGAGCGACAGCACGCCCCTTCCCACTTCCCGCAGGCTGGGAGAGCACGCGGGGGCGCCGTGGGGGCTAGGGGCGAAGGCCAGAGCGGGGCAGGAACCGCGGGGGTGCAGCCGAGGCCGATCAGCCTCTCCCACCCAAGAGCAGGGCCCCAGCGGGCTCACGACACCTATTATGGGGAAGTCCTCTGTCTTCACGGGCTCCGGCGCGCCCCTGAAGCAGGGCAAGCTGCGGGGGCGTGGCCAAACGGACACGGCACGCTGCGCACGCCTGGGAGCAGGGCCTGCGGCCCTCCGATGCTTCGAAAGCTGGAGAGGCGAGGGTTCTCTGGGAGCGGGCACCAAGGCGTGGGGTCCTCGCGCTGCCCCAGACGCCCTCGTCCCGGCCACTGGCCCCAGCGTCTCCGTTTCCCAGGAAAAAGTGTCAAACTCTCTGGAACCGGGCAGTGCGGGGTGACGCACAGACACTTTGGGGAGGGTTTCGTGGCCCGGAGCCTTGTCTGAGAACCTGGCCCGCCACTCTATAGGTGTGCCTCCTGGAGCATGCTCCAGCCTCAGTTTCCCTCTCTGAGAACCTGGCGCCCCGGAGAACGCCTGTGAAACCCTGACCCGCGCGGCGCAGGAGCTCATGTAGAGGGATCCACTGTGGACATTAGTATTCTCATCATTATGGTCATTATTATTATGGATCTGATTTCCCCTCTGCAGGCCCAGAGCTCACATCAGAGGCGTCCTCCGCCCCTCCCAGCTGGCGAGGGGGATGGCGGGGGACAAGGCACCTGCTTCATTAGTACAGACAAGCTAATTAGCGGAGGCAGCACTCAGCGCTTCTCACATAAAAGAGGGAAGAAAGAGCTAGGGGCAGGTGGTGAGGCCGCAGCCCAGGTTAATTGCGAAAGGCTTCCTTTTCAAGGACCCCAGCCCCCGCCCCCACCCCATGAGGCCCCCTGGCAAGGCCCGCCCAAGGTCCCCAGAGAGCCATGTAACAGGCTGGACAATGGGCAGTCTCCCTGGGTCTGGAGTGGCCTGTCTCCCCCCTGTCTGTGACCGGCTCCCCAGCTGGGAAGATGAGCCCCCAGAAGCTGCCAGGCCGCTCTCGGGACCCTCCGTGCACGGCTGCCTCTCCTCTTTCCCACTCTCATTCCCGACTACTCGCGCTGAGTGCCCACTAGGCCGCAGGCCCCTGTGGGGTGCGGGGGGCGGGGGGGGGAGGAAAATGCCTGGAAGGCAGGCGCCTGCCCCCTGGGAGCTTCCAGTCTCAGGAGGGCCGGTGCTCACACAGCCAACGGGAGGAAGCCCGGGGGAGCGCGGGCCGTGGGCGTCCTTGCAGAGGTGCACAAGGGGGTTGGCCAGGCAGCAGCTCAGGGACAGCTGGGCGTCTGTGACCGAGGACAAGAGGTCATTTTCTGGCAGGGGTGCATGCAAGGGGGCGAGCCAGTCCAGGGGGTCCCCAAGCCAGGGTCACACAGTATCAGGTGTGGTGATAGTGACTGCCCTCCCCCCACTCCCACAGGACCACCGAGTCACACCCCAAGAGTCACTTGGCTTTCTCCAGGGCACAGCCGTGGCTGGGAGTGTAGCCCGTCCACCTGCCTAGCTCTGCAAGCTCCCCCAGCCCCACCCAGTGGGCCCTGCAGCCCGTCTGTCCCCAGACCATGTCCCCACCTCCACACCTCTGCTCCCGCAGTGTCCTCTTCCCAAGACCAGCTCCTTCTCCCTTCAGATCTCAGCTCAAGGGTCCCCTCCTCCGGAAGGCCTTCCCAGGCCACACGGTCTAAAACAGAACCCCCCGCCTTGTTCCCAGTACCGCTGTGACGGAGCCGGGGGAGACAGACAGGCTTCCCGCCCACCCAGACAGGAAGAGGGTTTGTAGCCAGGGAATGTCGTGTGAGGACAATGACAATGTCTGAGCCAGGGGCTCAGGAGAGGGTGCGGTTCTGAGGGCGGCTGTCCCACCTCCCAGCTGTGTGACTTCAGACAGCCTCGTAGCCCTCTCTGAGCGCAAATGTGACAATTCCAGCTCTGCCTTAGCCTGTCCGGTGATTGGATGAGGATTTCTGCCCATTAACCAGGTCCCTGAGTTTGTATCTAATGGGGGTGTATTTCTGGCATTAATCTGAGCAGGAAAAGACCTTCCCTGATCTTGAAGGGCTTGGGGGTTGGGGGGGCGGGCAGAGGTAGGGCGCCAATGACCTAGGAGATCCCAGGGCTGGGTAGGGCCATCCCCTCACTGCCACCCTAGGTGGTACACTACACTCCCTGGCCACCAACCCTCCTTCCCGGCTGGGCGGGTGGGAATCCTCCAGCAAACCCAGAATCCCACCCCCAGCCTGGGGCAGGATCATGAGAATTACCCAGAGCCCAAACTGTCTCCTTGTGTACAGATGGGGCAATGGAGGCCAGGAATGGCCCTGCCCCAGGTTCTGTAAGTGTGGGAAGCATTTACAAGTAAGAATCAGCCTTTACTCCCCGCCCAAAGCCCTGGGCTCGGCGCTAGGCTCCACCCACCAGCAGATGCCCCAATGCGGCCCTCCCCGCCCGCGTGCCGCAGCTCGGCCCACGCGCTGGCCTACGAGTGTAGGGCGACGCTGCCATCTCGTGGCTGCGGCTGGTACTGCGGACCGGACCTGAGCCTCAGACGGCAGACGGGGCGGCAGAGTTTCAACAGGGCCAGACAAGGCAAATAGGTTTCCCACCTCCCCCACCTCGTAGGAGCTTTACGAGACCCCTTTATTCTTTGCACCGCCAGCATTTCCAACACGCTGGCAACGACCCTCGATGTGACCCATCTGTCGAGATGCTCGTTGCAAAGATGGACTGTCTTACTTCTTCTCCACTGCAAACACTTACTGGCATTTCCCCCAGGGACCAGAATCAACTCCGAGCACCCTTCCTCCGCCCCGGAACGGTGCGGGGAAGGGGCGCCTCTCCATACAGCAGCAGCAGCGGAGCTCACGAATGCAGAAAATCAAGAAGGGCGCAGTTCCGGGAGCACACCTGGCCTGGACCAGTGACCAAGGGGAGCAAGCTCTTCAGGGCAACCATTCTGGGGGCCCCTGGCTTCAGGTAACCCACCCTCCCTGTGTCCTTTTCCCCCGCCTTATAAATTGCCGCAGACCAGGTGTTAACTGCAGGCCTTCACAGCCACAGGGAGAGAACCTTCATTGTTTTGTTCACCACGTGGCTGCGGGGCACCAGGTCAGTGCGCAGCAGGCCGTGGTTGACTGAGTGAATGGATGGATGGCACCCGGGGTTGGCCAACAGCCCCAGAGGGGTCGGGTTTGGGCGTTTAAAATGTGCTAGATCGCACGTTGGGTAGTGAGCACTCGGTGCAGTATCCGGATGATGTACCACAGAATCGTACGCTTAAATCCTATGTAATCTTATTACAATGTCGCCCCAATAAACTTAATATTGTTAAAGATTTTATTTATTTTTAGAAAAAGGGTAGGGAGGGAGAGAGACGTTAGTATGTGGTTGCCTCTCGCGCACCCCCTACTGGGCACCCAGCCCACAACCCAGGCACATGCTCTGATTGGGGATTGAACCAGTGACCCTTTGGTTTGCAGGCTGGCACTCAGTCCACTGAGCCACACCAGCCAGGGCCTGATAAACTTAATTTTAAAAGGTGAGGGAAAAAATGTGCTAGCACAAAACAAAGCCTAGACATGAGTAATGACATGACATCTGGTACCCTCGGGGCAGGCTGTACTTGAAGGGCCTTACTGCTTTTCACTGTGGTGAAATGCAAAGGACGTGAAATTTGCCACTTCACCCTCGTCAGAGTGTACAGCTCTGTGGCATTTGGTACACGCGCAGTATTGGGCGACCCTCGCACCATCCGGTTCCAGAACATGTCCGTGCCCCCAAACAGAAACCCTATACCCAGCTCCTTCCCCACCCCAACGCATGCCTCCCTCCCCGGCCACCAAACTACTTCTTGTCTCCATGGGTTTGCCCGTTCGGGACAATTCGTTGCAAATAGGACTATAAAGTAAGTGGTCTGTTTGTCCGGCTTCTGGCACAGAACGTTTC